TGAATCTAGAAAGCAAATGATGACACAAGTGAATCTAGAAAGCAACATGATAGACTGGTAGGTAGATTCTGGAGCTACCAAGAAAATTTGATGCACGGGAGATGCATTTTTTTCGTTCACTCCTATTAGTGATGCAGAATGTCTGTTCATGGGAAATACTTCTTCCTCCAAGATCGAAGGGAAAGGAACTCTGATACTTATTCTGATTGAACTTATTGTGTTCTACCTATTTAACTGAACTTCAGAAAGGGTTAAATTGTTCGGAGCCTAATCATATTTGCATTAGGTCAGTATCATTAAAGTATTTATTGGGGGCCATTATTGGGTGCAAGAGACGTGCAAGGAGAACTTGTATTTCTTCTTCTCTATCATAGTGAAATCTGTAGCGGCAAGTGGTAATGACTTACATCGCGGCTAAACCACTATAATTTGTTTATGGTTTGCTCCTTCTCTAATTGCAATCTTTATTATTGATTCTATGCAGAGTGTATAATTTGACCTATGAAAAAATTAATTTGGCAACTGAGATTTTGTTTGTGTTGTGGATTTTATGAGCTTCATGTTACTGAATTTTGCTTTATATATTGAAGGGCATACATGAGTGCTTCACCACGAATGTGGGCTAGCACTAATAATGACAGCCTCAAACAGAAGATGACTGCTGTAGTTATCTTTCTTGTCAAAAGAAAATGGTAATAGGGAATTTTTCTGCTTTTCCCTCCGAGCAATTCGACCGGTTTGGAGCTATGAAACCTGTCTGGGCACCGTATTATACAATTCACGAGGTACACAATGTTTTGTTGTACTCTTCTTAATCCTAATCCAGGATAGTTATGTTGAGGGCATGTTTAATATGGAAGATCTAATAGTATAGCTATAAGACTGTATAAATAAAGAAAATAAGCTAAAATCTAAACTAAGTATATTGTTTATTCATGTCCAATACAGAATACCGTTATGCATGGAAATGTTTAGGCTCACTCTTTCAAGATTTGACAGAGTAATGATCAAGCTTTAAAAATGATGACCTGGATGGTCTTTTGGATTAGTATAAGCTAGTAAGAATGAACGATTGAACATAGTCTTAAAACCTTTTAATGTCAGTTGTCAAGATTATTCAATTTAATTGTTTCATGTGTTGATTTACTTGTACTATTTATTGTCTTCGAAATAACTGGCCACTATTTCATTGATTCCCGAATTTGTAATGAATTGAGAGGTAAGTTATAGATGTAGACACGTAGTAAAATTCAACAATTAGATAATAGTTAGGAATATACTTTTATTATTGTTATAGTTATATGGTAGGTATGACCAAACATGGAAGCCGCTAATTTTTTTCCTTTTTTAAAAAAACTTGGAGACAGAATCATCTTGCATTTGGTAAACATGTTGAGCAAGGTATGTTTTAAAGCTTGATGAGAATTAAAAAGCATCAAAACAATCTTGCGCCCAATGGCAACACATTCCATCTTCACCTTCACGTACATCCTCTGCCCATTACTTACATTGTTATTATCTCTTCAATCAAACAAATAATTACCAACCCATTATTATGTTTTCAATCTTCTTGTCACTGTATTTGTTCATTGTTACTATTATGTATGGAAAAGGGATCCACAATGTAACATTATAATCCGTCTATTTCATATGTAATTTTGTCATGTCATGTGAGTTTCCTAGGTGTTAATGAAAATTTCATGCTACATCCCCCGATGACATCGACGCTACTGCGTCACTGAACCAATTATTGACTGACATGTATGAAATTTAAAATAATTTTGACAAATTTATCTGGTGCCAAGACAAGACAAACCAATAAACATGGTGCAAGAACTTATCTGGGGTCCCACAATGAATGTTATGTGGGTCCATCCACGTTTCTATTTGCAATGGTAGTTGACCGTTTGCATGTGCAAATCAGGTGCAGTAGAAGGAAAAATCAGGTTTTACGAAGGTTTTACTTCCCAATTGCGCTCTCAACTCAGGGTACCTACTAGATCAACGAGAGTACAATACTTTGCAGATCAATCTCTTCCATAATAGTAAACCAACACGAAGTAGCAGAATATATTAAAAGTTAAGCTAGTAATTTGAATTCATTGGTATATAATACAACCAAGTTACTCCAACTATCTCACTGTTGGAGTTGTGACATTTTGTTGTCACATGAA